ACAGCAATAGTACATTCATGTAGTTGTAAAAGCTAGGTAATATATTAAGTAATCCAAAGTATTATACGTTACAAAGTACATTTTTGGGCATGTAATCTGTAGTGGAATACATTTTAAACATAACCTTCCCAACACTGCATATAAACAGCTAATAATTTCCTTGGGGGTTATTAAAGTATTCTGATTCTGACACAGATTCATGACTGAAATGCACTTTAAAGCTAAACGATTTTAAACTGATAACAAAAATAATGGCGGCCTCCAGCCTCTTAGATGCACCTTTGGTATGAATTTGAAAATCCTACGTTGCCTCATTCTTGAATGTCCACGCCACCTGCTGAGCGGGGAGACAACAATACCTCATCAGCTAAAAAACATTATGTCATATGGTGGGCAGCTAAGTTTAGACTACCAGGGTGTGCCTGTGAAACAAGATCAACTGAAAGCGTGACTCCACAGCAGGATGTCTCCTTGCTTCAAGCACAATGGCCACGAGTGTCAGACAAAAGCTGACGGCCAAACAATCACATGCTGCAGAAGGCGGACCAGTTGAGACGGAAATCAGAACTGCAAACTGAGATATAATTAATCACCCAGATCCTGGCTTTTGAACATTTTGAACTCATGGAAACCAGTGCCATGCAGTGAAGGCAAGCAAGATGAGCTTTGTTTTCTTCATATACACCAATCAGACACAACTTTATGACCACCTGCCTAATAATCTTAGGCATGGACTCCACTAGATCCCTGAAGGTGAGCTGTAGTATCTGCACCAAGATGTTAGCAACATATCTTTAAGTTCTGTAAGCTGGGAGGCGGGCATGCATGGATCCTGCACATCCCACAGGTACTCGACTGCAGGCCGGAGGCCAAGTCAACACTTCAAACTCACCGTTGTGCTCCTCAAACCATTCCTGAACCATTTTTGCTTTGTGGCAGGGTGCACTATCCTGCTCAAGGAGACCACAGCCATCGGGGTGTACCATTTCCATGAAAGGGTGTACATGCAACAATGCTGAGGTTGGTGGTATGTGTGTGTAACAATTCCACCAATGCATCCTGATCCCAGGTGTTTCTCAGGTAAGCAATGCACACACCTGGCCATCCATGTGGGGTAAAAGAAAACGTGATTCAGATCAGGCTACCTTCTTCCACTGCTCCATGGTCCAGTTCTGATGCTTATGTGCCCATTATTGGTGCTGTCAGTGGTAGAAAAGTGTCAGGATGGACACCCTGACTGATCTGCAGCCCTGCAAAACAGTCATGGTGTCCATACACAACAAACTGTGACGTGGACACGCAGGTGCACGGTTAAACTGTGACTGGTTTCTCCGGCTTGTAACAGTCCCAATGGTGTGGTGTCTCTTTAAAACAACCCGTCAAGGGTTAATGTTGTCATCAGTATGCGCCACTGACTCTCTCTGTGATTGTGTGGACATGTGCTTGCACGCTAGTGCATGAGGAGGGACGGGTTTTATGTTTTACCTCTCCACACACCTTTTTTTTGCAACGTTATGGGTTGTACAAACACTGTGCGCTGTTTGTTAAGCTGCAGCCGTTCAACCGGGCTTATATGGTTGACGAAGAGAACGTGTATTAAAGAATACGCTGTGGAATTCCCAAAGCCAGCGTGAGTGTGTATTCTTTCGACTATCCTGCTAAGTGTTTTGCCGCCTCCTCTCAACCACTAAACACAACCCGACGTTACAGGCTGTAACCACAGAGCCACTTTACATCCATTATTGACCTCCAACTGATTACACAATCAAATGTTAGACTGGCTTCATTAACAGATCAGAAAGTCCTCAGTCTCTCAGCTTCATCTCCACGTATGAGCGTCTTCATCAGCAGCTACGCCTTCCTCCACCTGCCCTCTCTCTCATAGAATAACGTGAATTAGAAACCATCTGTCAGAGCCACAGATAATCATAACTGTTCAAATCAAAATTAGTTTTCCAAAAACGGTTCCAGCAAATGTTTAAAAAAGGGAAGTAAAGCAGCTTTTAAGGTGGAATGTTTTTGTGCATGTTAGTGCAGGAGTTCACAACATGAACCGATGAGTCATACTTCAGCGATGACTGAGTTTCAGATGTGAAGCTTTTACTCTTTTGCTTTACTCCAGCAGCTGTTTAGATACAGTCATTAAAAACTGCCCCACAAATCGTGAGCTTTGCTCAGATGCAGCTTTGCACACCAGCTTCACCGGGCTGCCATATTCTCTTTAGAGAGAAGAGGCTGTCTCCTGAAGTCTTCCCTAACAAGCCACACTTGTTCAGTTTTTTCTAATGGTCCTGCCCTGACCTTTAACATGCAACCTGAGCCGTGTGGAGTCTGAGATGCAGCTCTTGGGTTTTTGCCGTTCCACTGAGCGTTGCATGGTCTGAGCTGCCCTGAGTGTTTTCCATTTGTGGATAATCTTTCTCACAGGATGTCGTCCACTGCGGCGCTGAGCCGCTGGCTGATCAGCAGCTTCAGAGCCTCGAGCCTCCACATCCTCACCTGCACAAGACGTGTCTGCTGTGTGATGTTGAACGTCTAACAACCATACACCTACACTTCCGGGTCAGAGTTCAAGTTAAAGGTCTCACCCGGGTGATCATTACAGACATACACGCACATGCTTCGAAGCGCTGGAAAGCTGAGCTGCTAAACTTCATCTGCGCCTCTTCACCGAGCTTTGCTGCTATTTGTAGTTCAAATTAAGTTTTTGTTTTTTGTTGTTTTTTTAATAGTTCTCTGCTTTTATTGTGAAGGGCAGCAGAGTTCCAGCTCACTGGAGTTTGCTCCGGATGATGCTCTTCTTCTTCTTCTTCTTGGTGTTTATTGGCAGTTCACAAACAATGAATTGGTGTGTTACCGCCACCAGGTGGTATGGAGTGTGGACAGGAATGTCACTTAAGGATTAGCTCCTACCATACAGATGTGTTTGTCTAAGATAATATGATAATCAATTAAATCTAGTTTTAGTTTTATTCTGTTTATTCTGTTATTCTCCCGTCGTTTTTGACATCTCTCTTTCTCTTTTAATAGATGTTTTATTTCTGTTTGACTAAAGCTGATACTCCACCCTCTGCCGGAAAAGGGTGGAGTGCCCACTCCGGGTCGGGGATGAGTTCCTGCCCCAAGTGGAGGAGTTCAAGTATCTCGGGGTCTTGTTCGCGAGTGATGGGAGAAGGGAGCCGGAGATCGACAGACGGATTGGGGCTGCAGCTGCAGTAATGCAGACGCTGCACCGGTCCGTCGTGGTGAAGCGAGAGCTGAGTGTAAAAGCGAAGCTCTCAATTTACCGGTCGATCTACGTCCCTACCCTCACCTATGGCCACGAGCTGTGGGTAGTGACCAAAAGAACGAGATCACGGATATAAGCGGCAGAAATTAGCTTCCTCCGAAGGGTGGCTGGCCTCTCCCTTAGAGATAGGGTGAGAAGTTCAGCCATCTGGGAGGGGCTCAGAGTAGAGCCGCTGCTGCTCCACATCGAAAGGAGCCAGCTGAGGTGGTTTGGGCATCTGACAAGATTGCCTCCTGGGCGCCTCCTGGGCATGTCCCACCAGGAGGAGGCCCCGGGGCAGACCCAGGACACGCTGGAGAGATTATATCTCTCGGCTGGCCTGGGAACGCCTTGGTGTTCCCCCGGATAAGCTGGAGGAGGTGGCTGGGGAGAGGGAGGTCTGGGCCTCTTTGCTTAGGCTGCTGCCCCGATGGATGGATGGATAAAGCTGATAATGAATTCCACAGATCTTTTTCCAGAGGCCTGCTTTGCAGCCTTATCTGCCATTTCATTTCCTCGAGACCATAATGTGCTGGTACCCATAAAAAGTTCACCATTAGTCCCGTTGTGTTTACTCTCTATGGTGTTGAGTTTCTGATGTCTTGTCTATTTTCTGAGTGGTTGCATTGTAAACGTACTAATAATGAACTGGAATCTGAAGACTGGTCTTAATGGTCTTGTGTCTTCAACTGTCTGGACGGCTGATAATGTCATAACCATTTCTCCTGTGTGTCCTAAATCTATAATTTATCCTTTTCCTTACTTTGATACTAACCTCTGGTAGCTACTCCGACTCTATCAAATATGTTCTTAGATGTATGTGTGTCTGTACTGTATGTGAATTTAAAGTAAACTCCTCATCCACATTTCTCCTTTCCAACAAAGTGAAGTCTACTGTAACATCTGGAGGTATCCACAGCTGTATCACTGTAATGGTGCTGTCTGACTTATATTGACCTGATCTATTCTGTCACAGTGGCCACAGGCCGATAGCTAAATTGGACTCGATTGCAGATAACCACAAACAGAGACGGCTCAAACGTTTTGCAGTGTTTATTATTTAGTCAACCAGTGAATTCGTGACAAGGAGTTGCTAACGAAGTAGCCATGAGTCAGTGGGGGGGTGAACGGGGATTTAGCAGGTTGCGACGGGAACAGAGCGGTTGCGTCTGGGAAACAAAAAGAGAACAGGGTTAGGAAGGCAGCAGGTGCAGGGTATCCTAGCAGAGGTGGAACTGACTGATAGCGCTCACTGGTGATCGGCGTGAATCTCGCTTCGAGGGAGAGGCGGTGGTAGTCCAGGGGAGTAGTGGAGTAGACCTGAGTACCGCTGTGTCCAAGGTGGGGAGTGAGGCTGGAGGGCAGGCGGGTGAGGGTCCTCGTATTCCTTATGAATATGAAGATAATCCAAGGCGAGCTGGGGTTGAGGGTGATGACAACGAAGGTCCAGGAAATCTGAAGCACATGAAACCAAGGTTAACAATGAAAAAGTGGCAAGAGCGTAAAAAGCCGTAGAGTCAATACCAACGTGAGGTCGTTGACGAACTGGCGGTGAAGGAGAGTCTGAGGGGGCCTTAAATCCTCAACCTGATTGCCCCGAATCAGTCTCAGGTGTGCAGGACTGCAGCAGGGAGATGGCTCCGCCCAGGGGTGGAGACCAAGGAACTCAGGTGCCTGATAGCACTTTCCAGTCGAGTCTCCAGATCCTGACATATTCTCAGTTTTCTGAGTAACAATCGAACCAAAACTCCTCACATCCTTTGCTTCCTTCTGCCAGCTCGGTCGAACTGTTTCCTGAGATGATCCGTCACTGATGTAAATTTGCCCAGTAGGTTAGTTGTTAAGTGCCATTTTTCAATGTAATGATGCTCTCTGTTGATGCTGTTCTAACTGCACCTGTACAAAGTCTCGACACTCGGTACTGAATATGATCAAACCTCTGTAAAGTATCTGCTGCTGAACTATAGTCCTGACTGAAAACTGCAAATAAACAAAAAAGTGTTGCAGCAGTGTTATTCAAAAAAGCAATGTGATATCACGTAGTCACTTCCAGTTAAACCCCTCGTGATGTTGAAACACTTTCTCACATTTCTTCTGAATTTGTCCGTGTGAGCCTCTCATCAAACCAAATAATATGGTTTGTATGACTTTAGCTTAATGACCTTACCGGTTCTTTTTCTTGTGAAAAACATTGCCTTGGTCTTATCCACTGAAAATGTAAAGACCCACTCATGACTTTAAAATTGCTTCCTGCACCTTTCCAGTAATAAACTCTAGGTTCCTTCCTCTCTTCCACGTGATGCCGTCATCTGCATAAAGAGAAAATCCCATTCCACTGTCTGTATTATGAAACACGACATTTATCATCGACTCCCTTGTGATGTTCCATTTTCTATCCTTACTATTTGCCTTCTGAAGAGGAAATCCTTCATCCACCTGTACATTCGGCCTGTGATACTCATCGTCCTCATTTTAATTAATAAGCCTTCTCTCTACATAGTATCATGTTGCTTTTTTGAACAACACTGCTGCAACACTTCTTTGTTTATTTGGGGTTTTCTAATTTCAAATTCCAAAACTGCATCCATAGAGTTTCTACCTCTCCTAAACCCGTTTGATATTACAGTATATACCTCTTTTTCTCCAGAGGCCCCCAGACCACAAGAGCCCAAAGAGGGCCACTGGAGGGGCAGCTGTGCCACCCTCCTTGAAAGAGCCGAGGAGAGCCCCAGACGAGGGGTCCCCCAGCAGCCACAGTGCAGAAGCCACAGGAGGCTGCGGTGACGTGTGGAGTGTGGTGAGGGGAGATGGGCCCCACACCTGGGGGGGCCTGAGATGTTCCCAGAGAGTCTAAGACCCAACCTGACACATAGACACCCTCATGCACACATATACAAATACTCAGCACTCACCTGATGAACACTCACACTCCCCAAACATACCCTATACCCCCAGGTCCAGGTACCATCGTGCCCCGAGGGGCATCCGCCCCTACACCCAGGAGATGTTACCCTTTTCCAAGGGGTGGAGACAAGAAGACCGTCCCCGGTCCCACAGCAGCATCCCAGACCCCGACCAGATGGCCAACTCCTCCTCTCAACCTCCTGCCCCCAACAGCGAACAGAGAACGGGGGCGAGATGATTGCTATACCTGTTTGGACTACAGAGATCCCTTCATGTGAACTGTTGAGTTCATCTACTCTTCTGTATCACAAACAAACTTTCATCTTCTTACCTGTTACTGCTTCTTTCTCAACCTCCCCCATCAACAACTTCAGTCCAATCATCCAATTCCCTGTCATCATCTTCCTCTACCTCAGTGGCCATTCCACCCACGGCCCACGCTCCCTTTTTCCAGCGAGAAACTGGCTGACAAAGTGTCACCTATGGCTGCTCCAAGGAAGATGTCCACATTTCAGCAGCTTATCCCTTCCACCAGTGAAGAGCTGCATGTGCGTTTCAGGTCCATATCCAGATATAACTAGGTGATGGAGCTCCAGAGGAAGCTGTTGGATCTGATATCAAAGCTTGAGGAGCAGCAGGTAACAGACGAGTTCGTACTCCTGTCAAAGATAAAGCTGAAGCCTTGCCACACAGGCTGCTCACAGGAGGCGCCCCACTGAGTCCACAGGTCTGAACTTCCAGACTTCTCTCAAGTCTCTGTGCATCTCTGCCCTCTGACCTGCTCCTCAAACATCTGTGCTGCTTTTCGAGCCTCTAATAAGGTAAATGTCCAAACTAAAGTAACAGGAAACACTAGTTTGGACTGAAACTGAAGATTTATCAGGGTAAGTAATCCTGCCTCACTGAGGGACAGCTTTAGAAAGCAAGAAGCTGAAATCACAAAAGTATACTGATCAGCAGGTAAGTGCTGCCAAGGTGCTAATTAGTAAACACAGTTTCTTTACTCATTCAGTGCTTCAAAGAGCCAGAACAAGGAGCTCTGTGGTGTCGAGTGCAATCCCAAAAACATTACATTAGAGGGTCACACAGCAGATGACCTGGTGAGGGAGCATGTTGTTAACTAACAAAACCTACCTAACAAGTCTGGATGCATGCTCACTCATCCAGGTAAGTTCAATTCAATTCAATTCAATTTTATTTATATAGCGCCAAATCACAACAAAAGTCGCCTCAAGGCGCTTCATAGATACAGAGAAAAACCCAACAATCATATGACCCCCTATGAGCAGCACTTTGGCGACAGTGGGAAGGAAAAACTCCCTTTTAACAGGAAGAAACCTCCAGCAGAACCAGGCTCAGGGAGGGGCGGGGCCATCTGCTGTGATTGGTTGGGGTGAGAGAAGGAAGACAGGATAAAGACATGCTGTGTAAGAGAGACAGAGATTAATAACAGATATGATTCAATGCAGAGAGGTCTGTTAACACATAGTGAGTGAGAAAGGTGACTGGAAAGGAAAAACGCAATGCATGCAGGTAAGTAAATCCCAGAGGTTGATCCTGTTCATCTGGACGTCTTCAGTGGGAGAAACGTTTCATCATCAGGTGGCTTCTTCAGTCTCAGCTGACTGCAGGTTTCCAATTAAATAAACACAATGACTGAAACCAGCAGCACTGACTAACAATGGGCTGTGAGGTCAGTTTATGATCATTAATATGCAAATTGTCGCGACCATTGATCAACCACCATGAGTCCCATTCACAGAGAGTCGGGGAATGGCTGCAATCACAGCATGTAAGGAATTTAAATTGCAGAAATGTGAAAAGGAACAACAAAAAGACTCATTTTGAGAACTATAATTCAGATACAACAGCATGACAACAGCACACTAACAACATCTATTCCCACAGCAGGACAGGATGTCTGCAGGTAAACCAGGACTTCTCATCTCTGGACAGTCTTAGCTCCACGTTCACGTGAATAACCTCATCGTCCTGTAGTGTCCTATAGGACTGCACTCAGACTGCTCTCAGTCCTTTCCCACTGTTTCCTGTTTTGTATACATTCCTCTAAACTGCACTCTTCTGTTTGCTATTTATTCCTGATGTCTTTAGTATTTATATATATTTTTACTCTGCACAGTTGGTGTGGAGCACCTATAATGTCACTGTGCATGTACAATGAGAATGACAATAAATTCTATTATTATTCATGTCATTTTCTGTGCCATTTACTGACTAAATAGAGCATATGAGCCCATTTTAATGAAACAGAGCACAATTGTATGGCATCATTAGAAAGTGGATTTAAAGTGCCAAACAACTACTATAATCAGCCCATAATAACAAAAGCAGCCTCTAAGTGCTGCAGCAGAGCTTTAATGAGATGTTGTAAAACAGCCACTTGAGGTCAGTGTTGTTCTAAGTTAAGTTTCCTCTCCTGTGGTCGTGTCCTGAAACTGAGGTCAACGCGTGCCAGTCCTCGGTGACCTCAGTGAGGAGGTGCCATATGCTGCTTCGGCTTCACAGGAGCCTGGAGCAAGATTATAACATGATCCAAAGCAGTGACGCTCATGAAGGATGTCTCCATGCAGCCGGGAGCAACATCAGTGTTTCTCTGTGAGGAAACAGAGTAATAAGAAACTTTAACATAAAAGAAGAATCCAGAAAGCTGCAGGGCTAAAACACCAAACGGTTCAGGTTGATGTTAGAAAGAAGATTTCCAGTCAAATCTTTGTTTGCATAACTCTGAGTATGATGAGAATGACTCTGATTACAGGTATGTCACGTTGCTTTGTTTATATCCAAAGCACCTCACAAAGTTTCATTAATTTCATTGTTGAAATGTAATTTCATGTCTATTTAATGATCCTACTCTCCGCAGAATCATCTCATTTTAAGTTAGCTGTTTATTTTTTGTCCAGAATGACGCATCTACAGGATGTAAGGCCGAGAACTTCAGAGACTCAAACCAACAAAATTTAAAATGCTTTGCATCCTTTTCTTTTCCTGACAAAATAGTTTAAATTGTCACTTAGTTGTCAATACTTCACATAAATTGTCATAATTTTAAAAAAAAGATTTGCTTACATGTTTCTCAATACAACATCTTTATTATTCCATAGGCAGTTTTTCCTTTAGCTGCTACCTGATAGCAGAAGAAATCATTTCTACTTTGCTGAAATCAGAAGCTCAGGTCTCGCTGTCTCATTTCTGCTGAAACTGAAGGATTCACACTGTGTCCTGCGTTTGTTTTCTGGCATCGCTGCTGAATGACAAATCTAAAATACTCTTAAAGCGTACAGAAACGTACGTGACTACTTCAGACTCAGGTGGGTGTGTTGATCTAATATTTTGTCAGGGACATTTTTTTCTCCTCCCACATGGAAAATTGGTCAGAGTAGATACAAAGTGTCACAGAAGCTGGAAACATGCACACACTCACCATGGGCATGAATGTCGAGGACATTTGTAATATTTTCTTTGTTCTTGTTCTGGTGGAATCACAGACCTCTGATGACTTTAAGAAACAATCACTGAATGTATGAGTTTATTTTGGATTTTCTCTCGTTCACACAGGCTCAAACATGTACATATACTCACTTAAATCTTTAATAAGTGATGCTGATTCAATTCAGTTTTATTTATATAGCGCCAAATCACAACAAAAGTCGCCTCAAGGCGCTTCATAGATACAGAGAAAAACCCAACAATCATATGACCCCTATGAGCAGCACTTTGGCGACAGTGGGAAGGAAAAACTCCCTTTTAACAGGAAGAAACCTCCAGCAGAACCAGGCTCAGGGAGGGGCGGGGCCATCTGCTGTGATTGGTTGGGGTGAGAGAAGGAAGACAGGATAACAATGAAGAACAATGAAGGTTCTACAATATTCACTTCTTGGTGATGATCATGATTGAGTGCAGCTGGTAGCTTCTCTTTGTCTGGCTGCTCTCATTACACTGACCAATACTCACATCTCTGTCTGCACTGTCAGCATCAAACACTACAGTGGAGCCAGTTTACACTGAAACACGAAGCACCTGCTCCAACTTTGGCACCTCAAGCTCAACGAAAACTTGCAGCTGCCCGACAGGCCAAACGCCCCGTGGAGGAGACAAACACTGAGCCAGTTCACAGAAAACTTTCTTCCAGTTGTCATAACGGACGCAGCTGGTTGATCCAACACGACAAGTGTCCAAAACACACATCACACATCCAGACTTCAACGGCACTGAAAACTTGCGTTCTGCATCTGGCTACGGGACATTGAATCGAATATTAGCAGGCGTGCATGTTTATATCTGAGCCTGTGTGCATATTTTTGATTGTTAAAATTAAAAACAGGTCAAAGAGAGGATCAAAGGCACAACATGACCATGATGACTGTATGTAACCATAACTGTGCTGCATTATTTACAGCAGAGGGTGAGTACAACAGGTTTGTGGTCGTGGTAAAGCACGTCCGGCTGTAAATTCCTGTGGTGCTCAGAGACTTGTGTAATATTTCGGGATGTTTTTGTGGCGCTGCACCACAGACTTTGTGGTACTGTTACCAAATATTCGGCAACTGTAGCTCAAAGCAGGTCAAATCCTACAATCAGCATAACAAAGCAGATCCATTGAAGGGGGCGTGTGTGTAGACCGAGCACCTAAAGTGCTTTAAAGCTTGTAACAAGATTAGGAAACTGCTTCAAAATCAAGACTAACTTTCAAAACGCTGTAAATCAATTGCTTATTTCATGCCTGTCTTACATACAAGCCTATAGCTATGGACCATAATCACTGTCCTGAGAAGACTGAGAGCTCTTCAGCTGGGTGAGGTGGCTGACTGGCTGACTGGCTGTGCCCCGGGGACAGAGGAATCACTGACCCGTGGCCAGTTTTCCTCCAGCATCAGTGAACCCCACATATTATCATCCGAGTGAGTCATCAGTGGCACTTCAGCACGGCCGAGGTTCTTCGTGCCAATCCTCTTATTTTTAATCCCCCGGTGAGCCTCGTTTGAGCTGCTGCCCCCCCTTTCTTCTGACTCTCTTGCGTTACATCCTCCCGTGTGTGCTTCCATCACGTTCTGGTGAAATATTTGGAGGTCTGCCAGCAGCGTTACTCTGCCGCCGCGTGCAAATGTGGCGAGTGCACGTGGGCGCAGATTCAAAGGTGTGTGTGTTCGCAGCATTTTTCTTTTCTCACACATGTGAATTCAATCGATGGCTTAAGGCTGGAATCACGGAGAAGTGTGCCTTTGTATGTATCTGTGTGTCTGGACAAATGCATGAATGG